TCAAACACAAAGTTAATGCTCGGAAATGTGTGGACAGAATTTTGTTACATAAAAAGGGACATACAAGTTGATGCAAAATAGTAAAAACATAAAGAAATCAGATTTCTATTTAATTTAATAGAAATTTATAAATAATTTTATACATGCTCTTATCAAAAGCTATAGCTTAGGCTCTTGTTAAAAATGAAAAAAAAAAAAAATGTTCTCATCCCAAAAAACGATTAATATGTATCAATAGATGTACTAATGCTTCGAACTACAAACTACTTAGTACAAAGAGACCTTGACAAAGTTCATCGACAGAACTTTTTGTGAAGACGTGTCAGGGTCTAAGGTGGTACAGATGGGATTCATCTATTTGAACTAATCAAGAACAATCCCATTTCGATGGATGAGTTAACATATATGAAGTCTAACCAATATATCGTTTAAGACAACAAAGTAAAACCCTATTTGACAACAAAAACGTTCGGATGTCGACAACATTTATAAACAGGATTGCATAATAAAAAAAACAATCAACAATACGCAAACCAAAAGCTGAAATCAAATGTCTAACTTCTACCAATCAAAAACTTCACTCAAAAGGAGAGGGTAGTACCCTTCAATGATACAAAGAGAGGGGTATTTATAATGTTACAGGTGAAATGATGTTTATTGGATGAGGGGACACGTGACTCCATTTTAGCAGTTGACCTTCGCCACTACGAAGATAGGCCTCAACCAGCTTCATAGATGTCATTTCACGTGAGATGCCACATATGCATCATGTAGGAGCCTCGGTGGCAAGGTGTAACATATTACTTAAGGAATAAGAAAAGAAGAAGAAAAACAGAATATTTTTATTCCCAATTCACTATTTTTCTATAAAAATAATTTAAATTAAAATCTTTCTACCGAGTCTGCGAAATATCTATAGGTGTATTCCCACATTGCGGTTTTGTTTCCACGTACTTCTTGGAACTCTTGAGCATATGGATTCTACGCTCACTCTCTTTTTCTATAATCATCGAAACGTAATATATCTTCTCTCTAAAATTAGGGGGTGAAAAATATTGAGAGAACAAAATATATCCATATCAAGTAAATACAATTTCGAAATTTTTATATAAAAATTCAATTTTTTTTTACGGATGCAACCATGCCTGTTAAATAGCACAACGAACGTGCCACAATATTTAGTTTCGTTTACTTTCTC